CCAGGAGCAACTTCAGGAAACAACCAGGAGCAACTTCAAGAAACACCAGGAGCAACTTTAGGAAACAACCAGGAGCAACTTCAGGAGACAACCAGGAGCAACTTCAGGAAACAACCAGGAGCAACTTCAAGAAACAACCAGGAGCAACTTTAGGAAACAACCAGGAGCAACTTTAGGAAACACCAGGAGCAACTTTAGGAAACAACCAGGAGCAACTTCAGGAAAACCAGGAGCAACTTCAGGAGACAACCAGGAGCAACTTCAAGAAACAACCAGGAGCAACTTCAGGAAACAACCAGGAGCAACTTTAGGAAACAACCAGGAGCAACTTTAGGAAACAACCAGGAGCAACTTTAGGAAACAACCAGGAGCAACTTCAGGAGACAACCAGGAGCAACTTCAAGAAACACCAGGAGCAACTTCAGGAAACAACCAGGAGCAACTTTAGGAAACAACCAGGAGCAACTTCAGGAAACAACCAGGAGCAACTTCAGGAGACAACCAGGAGCAACTTCAAGAAACAACCAGGAGCAACTTCAGGAAACAACCAGGAGCAACTTCAAGAAACAACCAGGAGCAACTTTAGGAAACAACCAGGAGCAACTTCAGGAAACAACCAGGAGCAACTTTAGGAAACAACCAGAGCAACTTTAGGAAACAACCAGGAGCAACTTTAGGAAACAACCAGGAGCAACTTCAGGAGACAACCAGGAGCAACTTCAAGAAACAACCAGGAGCAACTTCAGGAAACAACCAGGAGCAACTTTAGGAAACAACCAGGAGCAACTTTAGGAAACAACCAGGAGCAACTTTAGGAAACAACCAGGAGCACTTCAGGAAACAACCAGGAGCAACTTCAAGAAACAACCAGGAGCAACTTCAAGAAACAACCAGGAGCAACTTCAGGAACAACCAGGAGCAACTTCAAGAAACAACCAGGAGCAACTTTAGGAAACACCAGGAGCAACTTCAAGAAACAACCAGGAGCAACTTTAGGAAACAACCAGGAGCAACTTCAGGAAACAACCAGGAGCAACTTCAAGAAACAACCATTTTCAGTTTGTTTCCCTGAAAATGTCAGAACTGATTTTACAGAAATCGACTGAAGAGCTGAGTGAGCAGCTTAGTTATTATTATTATTAATAATAATAATAATAATAATAATAATAATAATAATAATATTTACATCCTGAACTTTGACAGTTTGAAACCAAAGAGGAAGAAACATTTTTTGATGAGCTAAAAAAACATCTGGGAGCAGAAAAACTATCCAGAAATTAATTTGGGGCTGAAACGATCAAATTATTACTAATCGATCCAGTTATGATGTATTGATTAGTAATCAATTACTAGTTAACAGGAGACTTTTTCTGTAAGAGAAGTAATTAAAAACTGTGAAAAATAAAAACCAGCCAAATATTAATCAGTTCATTTATAAAATAAACTGAAGCTCTGAGATTTATTGATCAGTTGATCAGAAAAACCTGAATTTCTCATGTTAGGATTAAATTTAGCTGCAGATTCACTGATCATCAAATGTTCACTAAAGGAGCCAAAACTTTATTTTATTATTAAATGGAGGAAATGAAATATTTATTTTCACCTTTAATGCAAAAAAATTCCAGTAAAAATAAAAAAAATGAGCAGAATTTTTACAAATTTTTCATTTTATCGTCAGAATAATTGATTGGTAAAATAATCGATAGTTGCAGCTCTAAATACGTTTGGGTCACATTTCCAGAACCGGGTCGGTCCAAGAGAACAGCTTTGATACGTTAAGAAAAACATTTCAATAGATTTCTTTACTCAAAATCTCTGCTTGTTTTCCGAGAAATGGACAAATTATTTATCATAACTATAATTATCATAATGAATTAAAGACTCGGATTCTACAGGATCAATACAGAAATTAATATTGATCTTTGAACAAGAGTCAATTTATTATCCTGGATATGAAAACGATAAAAACCTGACAAGTTTCTGCTGAATCAGATCCAACTAAAACATAAAGACCATGAGTCAGCAGAATCCACTGCAGCGTCCAATCACACACACACACACACACACACACACACACACACACACACAAACGCGCGCGGCCGGTTGGCTCTGGTGAGTCAGCAGGTTGAAAGGCTCACCTCAGCAGCACAAAGCATGAAAGTGTTTATTGTTTATTGTTTATTGTGAAACCAGGTTTCACATCAATGAGGCTTTAAGTCCAACATGAAAAGATTTCAAATAAAATGAGATTTTAAAATAGATTCTGATCTTTAGTTAAAAACATTCATGTGATTTTTCAGTTTTGTGCTTTGAAGTTAAAGTTAAAACTGTAAACAAACTGAGTAAATTAACTTTAATAAGCCCCGCCCCTTTTATCTGGCGTCCCTCCGACTCCAACCAATCAGGAAACAGTTGCTGTGATTGAGGAGTAGAAAGGGGCGGAGCTTGTAGCATGAAGCATTCTGGGTATTCCAGCTGATGGCAGAAATGAATCCAAAGGAAACTGGACTGTCTGAAGCCGAGTTATGGACGGAAGAGGTGCATGCTGGGGGATTTTCCTTACGCTGCTGTCCGTTGGAACAAGATAAAGGAATAATTTGAACTTCCTGAGAAAGTTTGGATGAATCATCTGACCTCCGACCTGCTGTTGTGTCAAACAACGTTAATGAAGATCTGTTTTCTGTTTATCTCGGCTCCCAGCGGGGGGCCAACTGCGCCCCGGCTGCCGCCCTGGGAACGCCGCCCTGGGAACGCCGCCTTGGGAACGCCGCCTTGGGAACAGAGGGACAGGAAGCGGCCATGTTTCCTGATGAAACGCTGTACTGTGAACACATCACGGAGGGATTCAGGCAGCTTCATGTCAGCGCCGAAGATCAGCCATGATGCTCAGACCTGGTGCCTGATGAGGGGGGGCCTGCAGAGGCCTGCGGGGGCCTGAGGGGGCCTGCGGGGGCCTGCGGGGGCCTGCAGAGGCCTGCGGGGGCCTGCAGAGGCCTGCAGGGGGCTGCAGGGGGCTGCAAGGGGCTGCGGGGGGCTGGACCCCAGACCTGAACCCAGATGTGTTTCTAGATGCACATCAAGAGGATCTATAAACTCTTTGATGTTGTTTTAACTTAAGAGGCCTGAAAAAATAAAGGAAAATGATTCATCAGCACTTTGTGCTTCTTCCAGTTTAAAACCATAAACTGGGACTCGTCGTTCTCTCTCTGCTGTCTGACATCCAGAGGCTCGTCGTCCGGCCGACCCGGTTCTACTGGACCCACAACTTGTCCAGCTGCTGCGGTTCTGAGTCAAGCTGTTCCCCTCCAACCCAGACAAGGTTTGGAGGACGAGAGGTCAGAGGTCGACCGGCGTTCACGCCTCACTGACTGGACTGGACTTTGATTAGACAAACGGACTTCAGTTGGACTGAAGCGACAGAACAGAACCGTTGGGAATGACGGCGATTATTTTCCTTGATGCTGATTGGCAGAAATTTTCACCGAATCAGAAAATCTCATCATAAAAACACAAAATCATTAAAATATTGAATCATTTCTGCAAAATTCACAACAAAATGTTTCAAACTACCATTACGGTCTGGACTTTGACTAGGCCACTCCATAATGGTGGCCTTTGGATCGTTCTCTTGCTGGATGATCAAAATGTGTTTGAGTTTATGGTTGTTTGTTTGTATCGGGTGTCCAAAGTGCGGTCCGGGGCCATTTGTGGCCCTTGCACTGAGTTTGTTTGGCCCCCAAAATGCCGTTTAAGAATGAGGTCGAAGAAAAAGAAAAGTCACTTTTATATTTTCATTTTATTTAAAGTGCCAAGATATTTGCAAAAAAATACTTTGTTGATGCAGCGTCTTCAGCACATCAACCAAATAAATGACAAACATCTGGAAGAGGAACAGCAGATTTGTTCTAGAACGGATCATCAAATGTTTGGTCAAGTATAAACGCTAATCCTGCCTCGCCTGGAAGCTAACCGCGTTTTAAAGATCTGCATAAAAAGCAGAAACATTCAAGATGTTAAAGTTCAGCTGAACTCAGATCAGAAACTTTGACCCTGAATCTGGAGGTCAATAAACCAATCAGAGTCCAGAAAACCAAACGTCTTATCAGGAAGTAAAGGAAATACGACACGACGACGCTTTGAGATCTTTCACATTTTTTAACAAAGTTTCATCTGATGCAAGAAAAACTAACAGAAAGTTGCTGCCTGAATTTTCCTGCTTTAATATGAAACATTTCAACGCTCAGTTTATGAAGCTTCTTACAGATCAGAACATATTTCTGCATGAGCAAAAAGGTCCAGTTAAAGCCCAGCAGTGCAGGTTGAACATGGTGAACCTGATCTCCACTCAGAGGAAACTTTATGGGCTCCATGTTTTAGGAAACAACTTCAAAATTAAAATGCTTAGCTTCTGCTTTTAATTTGAAATAAAAACACTGGATGCAGAACAGAGGTGAATATTTGTGCTGCTGCCTCATGATTTTAAAATGTTAATGTTTGTAAACTCAACCAGGTAATAAAGCCGAAAATAAAAACTGAAGTTTTCACATTTTAGTCCTGATCCTCAGCTTGGGATGAAATCAAAAGATTATTCAAAAGTTTTTCAATAGTTTAAAATCTAAAGTGATCAAACTGTTTAAAGCTGAACAATAAACAAAGGTTCATTAAATCTGGAGGATTTAATGAGATTAGATTTTATTCCGGTGGATTTTTAGCTTCAGATTTGATGATTTTCCTGGTTTTGCAGAAGATCTGAGACACAAAGCGGCTTCATGTCCGGGAGCAGAAACGGATCCAGGGCCGGAAATGTTGGAACATTGACGCTTCAATCAGAGAGCAGAGCTGCTGCAGCAGCAGTCAGCAGCTGCAGCACCTGCTGCTGCGCTGCTGGATCCACAGAGATGATCGAAACATCAAACGATGCGGGGATGAAACACAAAGACAGACAAGCTGCACGAAGCTGCAGCTCCTCAATCAGCTGTTCAGAAATAAAAGCCTTTGACCTGATCGCAGCTGCAGCAGTCCGTCCAACCGGCGGCGTCCCGCGGCTCCTCTGACCGCAGCCGCGGCTCCTCCTGCGGCGGCAGCGGCGTCTGGCGTTCCGGTCCGGAGCTGGAGCGGATCCCCGGCACCGTCTGCCCGCGGATCAGCCTCCCTAAGGCCGCTCTCTATTGTCCCCGCAGGCCCCGCCCACCGAGCCCAAACAACCAATCAGAGTGGAGAGCGGCGGGGCGCCACGAGCCGCGGGCGCCACGGTGCCTTAATGACAGAGAGGGAGTTTATACTTTCAGGTTAAAATTGAGTTATGATTGGAGATAAGTGAGCAGAAAAACAAACATATTTATGGCTAAAAATGGTCTGTTTTTATTTTATTGCTCCAACTTGTCAAGCTGAGAAAATAGTTTCAACCTGCTGGGAAACAGATTTAATCCAGTCTGACTAAATATGTTTTCTATCTTTAATAAATCCTGATTTAGCTGGAAATGAAAGCAATTTTCTGACAGCAGAAACACAAATCATATAAAACATTTTTCAGGATTTAAATGTTTTAATTTAACCTCCTGCAAAAACAAACAAACAAAAAACAAACCCTCAAAAACATGAATCTACGTGATGTAAAATTAACAAAAACAAGAAACAAAATGCTAATGCTAACGCTGATGCTAATGCTAGTAGAGCACTCTGGCCTCATTCTGAAGCTGGTGAGAAAATGAACTGAATAAAAGTTTCTGCAACTCAAAGTCAGATCAGAATAAAAAACTTCGATCAGGTTTGAACAGAAAGTTGAGCTCAGATTCACGTCAGGAAAAACTTTGGAGATTTTCAACTTCTGAAATTTCCAAGATTTTTCTAGAAAGTTTCTGAGATTAATCTGAAGCTTTGAGTGTTTTTTGGCAAAAATTTGCTCATTTCTCCCTTCCAGCTGCAGTGGCTCATATTGTTGACATTTTTACCGGCTGCCAATAAAAATGGAGATTTTTATAGAAACTGATAATAAAAAGTCTAACAGCTCTGAATATGATGCTTCACTTTTTAAAAGTGAGTGTAATTTACTGAAATGTCCTGCAGAAGCTGACAACACAAACACAACACAACCGCAACACAAACAACACAAACACAACACAAACACAACACAACCGCAACACAAACACAACACAGCGTCTGATTGGACGTTGGAAAAGCCTGTTGTGTTCAACTTGTGCTAAAAGGACTTAGCCTAGCAGTGAAGCTATGCTAGCCTAAAATAGCATCTCAATGCTAGCATGTAGCAGCTAATGCTAATGTCAGCGGCCATGTTTCTAAAGAAGCTCCATGAACGATCAGGAAACTCTTTGCTCCAATCTGATGGCTGAAGATCAGATTAAATGATCCGTTATTGAGCTAATATTTCTGTTTATTCAATAAATTAGCAGCAAAAAAGATTTGGATTTGAAAATGTTGCTGATTTGGTTGATATGTGGTTTTCAATTAAAATGTCATCAATCAATCAATCATCTGCAATGAGTGGAGTCCAGTCGGGTTGGACGGGTGGAAATGTGTTCAGACAGACATTAAGAGCAAATTAATATTTCATAAAAGTTAAAATCCTGATTTCACAAAACAGTTTGTCTCTGTTGAGGGATGAGAGATTTAAATCTGCTGCTGGTCCACGTGTCAGGAGGAACAGGAAGGTGAAGAACATCTGCCAGGCGGCGTCAGAGTGTGTGTGTGTGTGTGTTAGTCGCCGACGTGCAGGACACACAACACTCCAACAAATTAGAGCAGCACACACACACACACACACACACACACACCTACACACACACCTACACACACACACACACCTATACACACACACACACGCACGCGCACACACACCTACGCACACACACACCTACACACACACACACATACACACACACACACACACACACACACACACACACACACACACACACACACACACACACACACACACACACACACAAGCTCTCCTGTTCCTGACAAAATGTTCTTTTTTTCTTCCTGAAAACACCAAAGGAAAAACCTTTACTGTGGCTCCTGCAGCTGAAGTCAGAAAAAGTTCTGATTGGTCGGGTTTCTCTGAACGTTCTGATTGGTCGGGTTTCTCTGAACGTTCTGATTGGTCGGGTTTCTCTGAACGTTCTGATTGGTCGGGTTTCTCTGAACGTTCTGATTGGTCGGGTTTCTCTGAACGTTCTGATTGGTCGGGTTTCTCTGAACGTTCTGATTGGTCGGGTTTCTCTGAACTGTCGTTTTGCTCTGATGTTCAGCAGATTATCATTTATAATCTGAAACAACAGGACAGGGAATCCATTGGAATCAATGTGATCCTTTGTGATGAACTGATTATTAATCATTATGTGTGGACGCTTTGGCTCCTTTGAAAGGATTATTTACTTATAAGCAACATTTCAATGAATGTCAAAGAGATTCATAAGTAAAGTTCATAAATACTCAGGCATGGCAGAGGTAGGATGGTGATATGGGCTGGTTATCAGTCCAAACTGGATCATCAACGGGACGATGATACAGCATCAAATCTACAGCAGAGTGGCTAAGACAGTAAAGATTACCGGTCTAGTCTAAGTCCAGATTCAGATAAACTCAAAGTAGAAAAGAATCGAACGATGGAACAAAGTGAAACCAAACAGATGATGTCACTGCCTCCAGGTTCCAAATATGGAAAAAAATAAGAATTATCAACTGATCAATATCTTCCCCACATTTGGAACCTAATGAAGTCGTAACATTAATAGTGATGATAATGCTAACAATAATAACAATACTGTATATTTTTGTGTTATTGGGTTAAATAATGACAGGCCACCATGTTTCATGATGATTTTGCAATCTGCAGCTTTAACAGTAAATTATAAACTTTTACACTAAGTTTAACTCTGATGCTGATTCTTCCTCTGCTGAAAACCTTCTGTCTGCTTTATGAAACATAATGTTACAAATAAATGAATACAAACTTTATGCTGACAGTTTTAATTCAAAAAGATTGATGGATTAATTCAGTGGTTCTGTAATGCTCCTCTGCTGCCACTAGAGGCCCCCGTTTGGTCATTTTTCATCTCTTCCTGTCTTCAGCTAGGGTTAGGTTCATGTGTGACCTCCATCAGTCACATGAAGCCATTTTAACCACAGCAGCCTGATTTCAGTCTGATCGGCTCATCTGGCCCCGCCTCTTCCTGCCGAGCCTCGTCTGAAGACGGGACGTCCTGTCTGAGTCTGACGGACCCATTCAGGCCCTCCAGGGTCCGGCTCTGGTTCTGGTAGAACCGAGGAAGTGGCGGCCAGCGCCATGTTTTCACTGGTTGCCACAGTTTGTGTTTCCTGTCTGCATTGTTCATGACCAGCAGGAAGGATGAGCCGTCACTGAGCCGTCAGGTCGCTTCCTTCTGTCCCCGCTGCCGATCAGACAAAATGTTCTGATCCAATTCAGCCGAGGAAAACTGGTTCTGGTCAAGTCAGAATGTGAAAAGCTGGCAGCAGGAAAACCTTTGTAGGTTTTTGTGTCTCCCAGAAGAAGCAGCAGCAGAAAAACCAAAAACAGATTTTCAGCTCAAATAACAAAAAATAACAAAACTTTGGATGAAAGATCAAGAAACTCCAGTTTCTCTGCTAAAGCCGACGCTGAGGATGAATAAAGATCTGAATTCAATCTGCGATGGACAGGCGACCCCCGCCCGGGTCGGAACCGTTCGGGTCGGAACCGCGCTCCCTCCAGAACCCAATGGGGTAAAAAGAAAATGGAGGAACTGAATATGATGGATGACTAAATATTAGTTTTAATAATATTGCAAAACATTTTTTCTAATGTTAGTCAAACTGAAACTTCTGATTTTTATAGCTATTAGCATGTTTGGTGAACATGGCAGCCATGTTTTTTAAAACCTGGAAATAAAAAAGCAAAAAATGATGATAAAAAGTAGGAATGCACGATTCATCAGAATATTTCATTTCTAATGCTGAAGTTTCAGTTCTTAGTTGTTTTAGAAACGTTTTGAGATCATAAAGTCAGTTTGTAACGTTGCTCCAGAACCAAACAGCAGATAGTAAAAGTCTTTGTTTCTGCATTCGGACTGATTTTGACATTAATTTATGCTTTTAATTAGGGCTTTGACTTTATCATGTTAACTTTGATTAAGTAACTACATAAATTTTAACATGTTAAAATTGTTAACATAATTAACTGTTTTTTTTCCTTTTTAAAAACCAAATCTGATGAACAAGCTCCACCTGCTAACAGCAGCGAGAACGAAGCCTCTTCTCTCGGCCTGATGGGCTTCATTTCTCTTCCTGACCAACCAGGTTGGACCCTGGAAAACACTTTTGTTGTGCAAAAAGGAGTTTAACTATCAGAGAAGCTATGCTAGCCTAAAAAAGCATGCTAACATGTAGCAGGTAATGCTAATGTCAGCATCTGCAGCAAACATTTGTGAAGAAGCTCCATGAATAACCAGGACTTCCTGAAACTCTTTGCTCCAATCTGAAGATCCAGAACAGATTAAAAACTATAAACATGTCATCCGTCTATTTGTTCCGTAATGTAGCAACAAAGAGTGTTTCTGAATTGAAAACTTACTTTGTCGATGAAAATATGTTATTAATTATAGAGCCTACAATGAACACAATGAAACATAATGATCTTTAAATGATCTGCTAGCCTGCTAGCGTTAGCATTGGTTCCAGTGTTTATGGAGTGTTTAACCTCAGGGCCCCAGGGGCCCCGAGGTGTGCCAGGCTGGAACCCGCAGGGCGCTGGAAGGCAGCCGAGCGGCGGCTCCAACCGGCCCGACCCAGTCCGGCCCGCTGCAGGATCCGCCCGGCCGGTTCTGCTCAGCCCAAACAGAACCTCCTCCAGCAGAACCCTTTCTGTTTGCTGACTCAGCAGAATTTATCTGGAAGCCATCATTAGCAAAAACCAGGTTTGGTCAAGTTTCCACTCTTAATCTGAATTACTGAAATAAATGAACTTTTTAATTTATGGAGATGAACTTTGTTCATGTTTTCAGTAAAAGCAAACATTTAAAACTTCCTGTTGAATGAGACGATTAGAAACTAAACTTTGTTCTTCAGGAGAATTATGACTTTCACAAAACTATAAAAACAGTTATGAACCCAGCATAAACTCAGACGGTATAAAATAATGAAGCTGATAAAGTCAAAATCTTTCTGAGATCAAAAAACATTTAAATAAATCCAGTTTCACTGAACAACAGCAGCGTGAAACGATTCAGTTTTTATGAAACATGAAGGCAGCAGAACCTGAAAACATTGAACAGATTACTGAGCTGCTGCCTCCTCCATGTGTTTACAGCAAACGTTTGGATCCGAGCCTGCAGCTGCAGCAGCTGCTGCAGTCACAGGTTTTCCTCTCAGTTTGCAGGTCATACAGAAGCTGCAGCAGTAGAAAGCAGGTTTCTAGCAGCGACGGTGGGTCTGGAGGATCCAGCGAACCTCGGCTCGGCGCTGCAGTCGGAGGAGACTCTCTGCTCTCAGCATGTAGCTGCAGCTGCATTCCTGCTGCTGCAGCTGCAGCTGGTGTCCATCTTTGCCA